GCAAGTTTTGCTGCAAGTGAGCCGAAAGTGGGAGTCATCACTCATCGATGATGCTGAAATTTGCGTCCCGTCCGCAAATTTCACGACCATCGATGAGTGATGACTCCCACTTTCGGCTCACTTGCATCAAAACTTGCAACGTGTGGAAAGGGCTTGAAGCAATCTGTCCATACTCTCGCTATATAGGTACTCTAATCCAGTCGGGCCTCTAACCTTCCATACTCTCTGTTATTATCATCCAGATGTGTATAGCGTCCAGCCCACGTACAAACTGGGGCTCTCAAACTGGCACTAATTCTTCTATTTCTCAGCCATTTCTGCACGGAATGCCTTGAAAATTTCAAGATCTGATCTGTGATGTATCCCGAACACATCGGGAAAAAGCATCAAATTAGAGTACCTGTATACAGGTACTCTAATTTGATGCTTTTTCGGGTCATTCTTTTGGTCAAACGTTGGCCTCTGTTCCGTCAGTTTTAACGACTCCTGCACTTTTGGGCCCTAAGCCCTCCATGCACCGATCTGTCCATACTCTCCCTATACAGGTACTCTACTACGAAGGGTACGAAGGGCCGTTTGTAAAAAAACTTGCGCACAACTCTGACCGCGGAGCATCAGAGTGCATCGTTCGCATCGGTTTTACCGGTGCAACACATCGGTGCCACCAGCCTTCCCCGGCTTTTGATTGGCTCGCAATTTTCCTCAATTTTCTTTAGTTTGAAAGAAAATTTCTCGTGGAAACCTCTCTGAAGTGCTTCTCAAAGCGACTACAAAGCTATTGATATATTACACCTACCATGTTTCTGTCTTTTTACTTTCAATTTGAATCAAGTCTCAAAAAAAAGCTGTACCTAACCTAACCTCAACCATGGGTGTTCATTTTCATTGCAAAGAGAAAACATTGCAAATAGCCTCCAGCAGTTCTCGATCTGAAATTTGACAAATTTTCAATTTAAAATCATCTTTTGTGACCTAAAATGGTTTTTTGTCTTTCAATCAGTGTCGTCTTAATACCTTTTCACTTCAGTTTCTAAAGTTTATGGCGTTTCTTCATTGTTCCTTTCGCTCCTAAGTAATGGTTGAAGCTGAAGCCAAGTAGCTCGTCGGTTTGATCTGCTTTTTTTCCTCGAAGAGGATTTAATTGTGCCTCTCCTTCAAGTCTCAGCTTTAGCAGTGTTACTTTTTCATCATAAACAATCACTTCGGTAATGATCAAAAGTTTACATTTCAGTTCTGTATCTACAAGTGTCTGCATCAGGAATCGTTCTCCGAGAGCAGCATCTCATGACTGCAGCATACAGATGGAAATTAAGCTTGTTTCCTGGTTTTACTTAAACAACTTGTGCTCTAAATTTATCGTTGAAGTGACAAATGGTATGTATTACTGTACCCGAAAGCCTAGCGTAGAAACTTTGAGCACCTGTCTCAGTGTGAGCGGTCCTTTGTTGCGGTCAAAGCTGCTCATTGATGACAGTTTCTCAAAGGAAAAGTCTTCGATGGATCAAGAAAAATCGTCTCCCTGAAATAGTAGTTAACACCCTTTCTTCATGACAATCTGAAAATTTAGTCCTCGCCCTAAGTTTGGGACCATTTCTCAGTTTTATCCTTGGTGTTGCGGTGTCATCAGAAGTGCACAATTTCTGTAGGAACAGTTCATGGTATGATTTGGAATATTTTAATTACCACTTATCTTGGTATGTGACGCTACAGACTTCCTGTCATACTTTATTTTCTAAATGGGAAACCACTTGACGGAAGGTTTTAAAAACTGCCGTGATTTTTCTTCTCTTTACGAAGAAAATCCTGCAGGAACTTCAAGGAATGATGTCGATTTGTACTCTTTTATTAAAAGAATATAGGAGCTGAGATTTTTAAACACTGTAAGAAGTTTCAACCATCTGCTCTGCAAAGATAATTTGAATTCAAATCATCCTATGAATAGAATACCATGCATTCGGAAGGGGTGAGCACTTGAGGTTTCATTTGCCTGGGGAGGCGCCTTTCAAATTCACTGCCAAAGGGACTCTAGCAATATCTGGCAAATGGAAGGTACTGTCCTAGTCCAAAAAATGTAAAGAAAGCCTAACCACCCCCTGGGCTCGATGTAGTTGCTGGATTTTTCCCCCTATTTCTGGATTATTATTTGAGGATGCCTACTGGATCTTAACTTTCACAGAAGACGGAGTTAATGCTGAAACAGGAAAATTTAAGTTGGAAAGTCTGAGAAGTGGATCCGTACCTCAAAAGTCTGAAGCTTCACCTTTATTCCAGCCCAAAGAGATGGTTATAGAAACATTCAAATTTTCAAAAGATGTTGACCTAGGGCAGCAGAGAAGGAACAAGCAAGGTCAAAGGTTCAACCCGATACAGGGAGAAATGGCATTGATTATTGCTCTGTTTAGAAAAAAAAAAAGTTTAAAAACTTGCTTTGGATGTTTTTCACCCCTCTCAGGGAAAAAGAACAGATATAAATTCAGGTATCAAAGAAAAACAGTGACAATAATGGGCGGCGCTTCGTTCGAGGAAATTTTGAGTGACATTTAGTGCTCACAGCATTCATAAAAGCGCTCATAATGACATTTTTGAAGGTTTATCCAAACGTGAAAGACCATTAAAATCTTCTTGACATGACTTGGAAATAATTTCAATGAAATTTCAATGCACATTTCAAAGATTTAGGAAACCTGTGATGATGATTGATTTTAAATGATTATGAGCTTTGAGTTAGACCAAGAACAACACAAGACACACCTGAGCAGCCTGATTGTTGAAATTTTTTGTTTGTCGGGACGGCATAGATGACATAGGTTAAAAAACCGAGCGAGATTAGTCGGCTATGTCTCATCCCTGCTTTGTCGTGCCTTTGTCAGGTGGAATGGACAACATACTGTCGGAAACTTAAGAGGTGCCGTTAGCTTGTCAAGAGTTCAACTTGACATAGGCACGACAAAGCAGCGATAAGACATAGCCAACCAATCACGCTCCGCCTTTTAACCGATGTCATCTATGTCGTCCCGACAAACAAAAAATTTCAACAATCAGGCTGAAATCACATGATTCATTTTGTTCCCTATAATATCCGTAGAGGAATGGTAAAGGAAATCATTCGGAGTCCGATTAACACTCACTAGGAAAGATTTATTCACGTCAAGGAAATACATATTAAATCTTAATTTATACCTACATACATAAGCCATGGAAGAATTATTAGAGAATGACATAGAATGCGTCATCAGTATAAGTCATTAGATAATTTTTCTTGATCCATCGAAGACTTTTCCTTTGAGAAACTGTCATCAATGAGCAGCTTTGACCGCAACAAAGGACCGCTCACACTGAGACAGGTGCTCAAAGTTTCTACGCTAGGCTTTCGGGTACAGTAATACACACCATTTGTCACTTCAACGATAAATTTAGAGCACAAGTTGTTTAAGTAAAACCAGGAAACAAGCTTAATTTCCATCTGTATGCTGCAGTCATGAGATGCTGCTCTCGGAGAACGATTCCTGATGCAGACACTTGTAGATACAGAACTGAAATGTAAACTTTTGATCATTACCGAAGTGATTGTTTATGATGAAAAAGTAACACTGCTAAAGCTGAGACTTGAAGGAGAGGCACAATTAAATCCTCTTCGAGGAAAAAAAGCAGATCAAACCGACGAGCTACTTGGCTTCAGCTTCAACCATTACTTAGGAGCGAAAGGAACAATGAAGAAACGCCATAAACTTTAGAAACTGAAGTGAAAAGGTATTAAGACGACACTGATTGAAAGACAAAAAACCATTTTAGGTCACAAAAGATGATTTTAAATTGAAAATTTGTCAAATTTCAGATCGAGAACTGCTGGAGGCTATTTGCAATGTTTTCTCTTTGCAATGAAAATGAACACCCATGGTTGAGGTTAGGTTAGGTACAGCTTTTTTTTGAGACTTGATTCAAATTGAAAGTAAAAAGACAGAAACATGGTAGGTGTAATATATCAATAGCTTTGTAGTCGCTTTGAGAAGCACTTCAGAGAGGTTTCCACGAGAAATTTTCTTTCAAACTAAAGAAAATTGAGGAAAATTGCGAGCCAATCAAAAGCCGGGGAAGGCTGGTGGCACCGATGTGTTGCACCGGTAAAACCGATGCGAACGATGCACTCTGATGCTCCGCGGTCAGAGTTGTGCGCAAGTTTTTTTACAAACGGCCCTTCGTAGTACGAAGGGCCCTTCGTACAAATGGCCCTTCGTACAAACCATAGAGAAAAAAAAGGAGGTGTTTGCATTTCGGGCATCTTGGAATTTTTTGATGACTTGATGACGTAGGTGGGTACAGTGTGAAGGGGACGTCCCTGTACCCAGCTGTACCCACCTACGTCATCAAGTCATCAAAATACTCCAAGATGCCCGAAATGCAAACCACAGATGCAAACACCTCCTTTTTTTTCTCTATGCGTAGAGTCCCTTTATAACCCAGAGTTAAGACAACTCACTTTTGGTTAGGCTGAAAGTGGCCTAAAAAAAAATCCAATTCTGATTGGTTCTCGCTCATGGAGGCCGAAACGAGTGCACCAAGATGGCGGTACCTCGAATGTGAACAAAAGTAATGAAAATATAACTAAATTGTGGTTTATCAAGAGTGAATTGTTATTTTAATCGCACCAAAATGAAAATATATTAAGAAATTATCCACTAATCAATCTAATTTTAAGGTTTTGATCAGTTTTTGTTGATGTTGTTGTTTTTGGATGACAGACATCGGAGGATTCCTTATCCTTATCCCTCAATATCGTTCGTTTGAGTGCACTCGTTTCGGCCTCCATGGCCAGCCAAGGCCGGCTGCCAGTCAGCTGATAATCGAGTTGTCTTAACTCTGGGTTATAAAGGGACTCTATCTATGCGTACAAACGGCCCTTCGTACTCTACCCTCAAAAAAGATCGTCGCCGACGATCTTTGAAAGGCAACAGTCAACAGTTCCATCGATGAGCCTCTTTGAGGTCCCTAGTTTGTAGGTGGGCTGGACGCTTTAATTCAATAGCCCAGATCGCTTTCCTGACTTCCTGAGCACCCCGCTGTCAATAATCCTTTGTGACCCATGCGGAATTCGGCACGTGGTTCGCTTGCTGAATGCTGAAGGAAGTATTTTCTACTTTAGAAATGTTTTTCCTCAAAGTTTTATTGCCCCTGTGATCTTTATTCGAGATTTTTTTGTTGTTGCATTTTTCGATCCCTTTCATATTCAGTGGTCGTTAGTAGTTAGGGTCATTAGTTCCTACCTCTTCAATTTGCAAATGGCTCAATTAGAATCCAAGTTCAAATTTGGTAAGAAATCTTCAAGCAGGAAGTTTTATTCCATGTCTCTCATGCCATCCGGCACATTTTCTGGCTTTAATAACAGAGTCGCTGTATATTGGACTTATTGGAGCGCTGATGAATTCACTCTTTGAGGCTATGGTTGTCAGTACCTCTGAAATTTGTGTGTGGCGACTTCCGATGCTGGATGTGAGGGATCCCAGCTCCAGGGTTCCCTCTGAACATCCAGGTATCTAATATATGCCATGAAAAAGTTACAGTCAGTCAGTATGTTTAGTTTTGTACATTCTTTAAATGTATGACTTTGGCCATAACCTATGGATTGGCCAAATTTGTGAAAATAATTTATTTAAAATATTCTATATTGAAAACTGCTCACAGCCTGTGACACTTCCATTAGCTGCTATGTCAAAGTATGTCTCTTAGTTCCCACTTTGGCAAAAAGGAAGCTAGGAGTGCACCGTTGAAGGATTGACTCCTGTTGCGTTCCAGTACACAGCGACTTTATGGTACTAAGTGCTTTTAATTTGACTGCTACATCATTACCTAAGGGATTTTCTTTTTTTGATTGGTGAAACCATGGAATTCTACCGATCGCCATTTTGGTACGAAATTGCCTGCAATCAGTCGGGAGTTTAAGAACCACTTTCCACCAATGTAAACAATTGGATTTGTTCCCCACTTTAAACCTTTACTGCAATGATACGGCAACAGTGCTAATATATACTCAATGTACCAGCATTAACTCCTTTTCTGCCATAATTAAAGTACAAGGAAAAATAACACTTAGAAATACTACGCAATGCAATACCTAGGTGACAGTGACGATGCCGAGTAGAATCAGCAGACTCAACGGCAGGAGGCGCAAAACACCCACGATATCTTGTTGGTTTGCTTATTTTTGGCCTGAGATCTGGCTGAAGTAAGGTTAGATTATCCACCAGTGGACAGGTGAATTGAAAGTACCGGAGAAATCTCTGGTGCTCCAAGCGGTTGATTAGTGGTACTTATCTATATCTTAATTTTTGACCGAGTTATGATAGGTCAAAGGTCAAATTGGACCTATTTTCAAGAAATCGTAACTCCGGTTCAAATTATCATAAAGAGAACAATAAAACGGGAAAATTTATCTAATTGTAAGCACTTTTAAGTAAAAATCACAGAAATCACTTCAAACTAATTTTCAGGGGGATTTCGGACCCCCAAATACGTCGGTTCCAAGGTCATATGATTTTCCCGCGAAAGGAGACAATTTCCCCATGCCTGGTTTAGGCCTGAATCAGTCCATCATGGAGGGTATGCTTGAGCTCATACTGAGGTATTACAGGTGGAAGGAATTTGTTTTGTAGAATCATCAGTATGAGGGACTTGTATATTTTTCAGGGAATCAAGAGGACTTTTAGGGACAGGCGCTAGAGAGGCCATGAAGATAGATGGGACTTTAGCCCTTGTGGGTTAGTGGAAGAGGGGCGAGAGGAAAAGGGGGGGAGAAAAGCTTTGGTCAAGATTCTTTATCTACATTCGTTAGTTTGCCTCTTAGCTTTTTGGAACAATACTTTATCAACTCCTCATTTGTTTGTATCAGCGTCCAATTGGTATTTTTGTTTTGTTCCATTTTTTATAGCATGTGAAAACCACACTGTGGAGTGTATTGGACCATTTTTCTTTCAACATGTGAGTGCATTGAATGCAGATGCTGAAAGCAAACTTAAGCGGTTGAAAAAAAGTATAAGAGGTGGTTCCAGTGAGGATATTGACTGTTTAGAATTTGAAGATGACGTCAGCTACCTTAAAAGTTTGGACCCTCTAAAATGGAAAGTAAGCATTTCTCAAGTTCTCTTTTTACTTTGCAGCACCACTTTTGAAGAATTCTGAAGCATTCTGATTTAGCCTAGAAATGATGGAACAACGTGTTTGATCATAATTTGCTGAAGCACTGCAGTGCAAATGTGCAGAACCTAATGATGTGCAGATTGAGAAAGACAGGATGGCAATCTTACTCTCAGCAAAGGGACACTAAAAATTTGGAACTTTTCAGTGGCGCAAACATGGTGTGATTTACAAAATCAATGTAGAGGGGTCTTCTAAATCATTAACTTGATTACAAAGTGAGAAACCCTTGGAAAGTGAATCTCTTGTTCTTGTAAGTTTCCTTTTGTCAGTGTCAAAGTATTTATCAATTGATTTTCCTCTTTTTTTTCTTTCTCAGGAGCAAGATCACTACCACGTTTTGGGTCTTAAGAAACTCAGATACAAGGCCTCAGAAAATGATATAAAATTAGCATGTAAGTATACATTTTTGTATCAAGCTCTTTTTCAATTTGGGTCTACTTTTTAGTCGTGCGGCGAAGCCGTATAGACTCTAGGTTTCGCCGGAGGCTAAAAAGTGTCCACACTTTTAGGCTAAGTCCAAGAGGAGAATTTTCGAGGAACCAAGTAACATATGAAGTATTAATATCGGTGCATTTTGGCCCAATGGAGATGTTACATGTGCGAGGAATTTCCAATTTGACTGTTGATTCTTGTATGAAAGTTCGCGAGGAACACGATGGTGCCACTGGTTTTCTCTGAAATCATCTCCCAAGCTCAAAAAAAGCTCTCAAGTTGAGGCCAAAATGGAGGGGATATCCCACCCTACCCTGAGAGTCCACGTCTACATGAAGACAAACTCTCCATGCAAAGATAGGGAGCAAATACATTAGCAGGGTTGCCGTGTTTTCAGTTTTGGAGTCCCCAGATAAATGGTAGCCCTGTCAATGTATTAGCTCCCTATCTTTGCATGGAGAGTTGGTCTTGATCTGGACTTGGACTCTCAGGGTAGGGTGGGATATTCCCTCCATTTTGGCCTCAACTTGAGTGCTTTTTTTTGAGCTTGGGAGATGATTTTAGAGAAAACCAGTGGCACCATCGTGTTTCTCGTGACCTTTTACAGAAGATTCAACAGTCAAATCGCAAATTCCTCACACATGCAACATCTTTATTATGCCAAATGGAATTTCTGATCATTTAGCCATGGTTTGGTAGCGTTTAGCAATCAACTGTGACCATAATGTAAAGAACCCACACAGGTGCCTTTCGGCGGAATGTCGCCCTATGGCATTCTTTATCATCAAGTCACTGTTGAACATTTACTGTTAAGTAGCGTTTAGCAACCAAGTATAGCCAAAATTTCCAGAACTCATACCTCAGATGTTCAAAGAGTGTTAACATGTGTCGCCAAATGGAATTTCTGATCATTTAGCCATGGTTTGGTAGCGTTTAGCAATCAACTGTGACCATAATGTAAAGAACCCACACAGGTGCCTTTGGGCTGAATGTCGCCCTATGGCATTCTTTATCATCGAGTCACAGTTTAATAGCGTAAATAAGCAACCAATGGTGGCCCAAATGTCAAGACTCCAAACTGGTGCTTTTTGGCTGAATTTCGCCCAATAGGATCTTTGATGATTTATCAGTAATGGTTGATGTTTATGTTGATTAATTATTACTGTCTGAAAGTGAATCCTGTGGGAGAATATTATAGGGTTGGTTCAAACAAGTTTTAGAATTTTTTTCCTTAGCGCTAATGGACCCTAAGGGACAACTTCAATTCATCGAACTATAAGTTTTCAATGTTCATAACCATTTTTTAACTGTCGGAACTCACTAGACCACATTATATTCATGATAAATTTAAAGAATATCGCTGTCAAAAGTTGAGTTCTCCTTCAATTTAGCACTTTTTGTCATTACCTTAAAGACCATACGGAAAGTGCTAAATCTACGGAAAACTCAACTTTTCACAGCGATATTCTTCAAATTTATCATGAATATAATGTGGTCTAGTGAGTTGTGACATTTAAAAATGGGTATGAACATTTAAGGCTTTATTTTCCTTGAATTTAAGTGGTTTTTCAGGGTCTACGGTAAGAAAAAAAGTCTAAAACATGTTAAAAGTTACTTGAACCTACCCTATAATGTTGAGCTATGACTTCAACTTTCATGAACCCTTACTTGTGCCTTTCAGCTTGATTTCGCTGAATGAAATTATTCATGATTGAAGTCGTGGTTGAGTTTAATATGCTGATAAAATATCATTGGAAAATTTAGGTTTCACCATCATAGTCTTCTAAAAATAACCATCAGCATTACTGCACCAACCAAAATCTAGCCCAAAAAAAAAAAATAATTCGGCTGCAAAAGTGGGAGAAGTTGGGATGTGCAGTCTCAAAATAAAAATACCTAGCTGTGATTGGACATAGCTTTGCTTTCATTGAGACTTTCCAATTTTATGAATAAAAAACAGTAAGCGTTTAGGAAAAACAGTTAGTTTTGTCCTTACCCGTAGACCATACAAAAAGAGCTAAATTGAAGGAGAACTTAGCTTTTGACAGCGATGCTCTTCAAATTTTTCATATACCTATACAAAGTGTTCTAGTGAGTATGGATGGTAAGAAATGGTCAGGAACATTTAAAGCTTTATTTTCCATGAATGTAAGTTGTCGTTCAGGATAGATTCTGACGACTAGATCCTCACTGGAGTAAGGAAAGAAAGTCTAAAATTGTTAAAAGTTACAGAAAAACGCGAAAAAAGAAAAAAGTCGGAAAAGGAAGTCAAATTTACATAACAATTAAATTAACTTAAAAACTTCGTAAAAAGTATTGGAAATTACGAACAAATGTATTTACGTAAAAATTGTATTAAAAAGAAAGTTAATTTTAATTAAGAAAAATAATCTTGGTAAATCAATTTCTCACGTAAATTTGACTCAAAATTCAATTAAAAAACAGGGCCGGATTTACCTACTTGCCGCCCATGGGCCGGATTTACCTACTTGCTGCCTATGGGCCACCTGTATTTTGCCGCCCCCTTCTCATTCGTTTCGAAACATCAATAAAAAACAACTTAATCGGCCCGAAACAGTAACAGAGAAACAACTTAAAACGGGACTAAGGCCGCAAATAATAGAAAGAAACACATAAAATATAATAAGAAACCCGGGACGTTTCGCAGGGATCACACCTGCATTTTCAACCGGCAAAACAAGAAAAATTAAAAGAAAGGACACTATGCCCCTCACTACTAGCAAAAGTTCGCACGGAACTTTGCGTGAAAGTTAAGTTCCGTGAACCTATCTACATATGTGTGAACAAGGCCTTCCATTTGTAAGAAATGAAGGTAAAAATTATGCAAGAACAAACATAAATGTGGTTAATTAATTTTAACTTCCGCCGGTGCGCCGCGCTGACCGCACTGTGTTTGGCGCAATGCGTGAAGTATTCCTACAGTCTTGTAGGCGCTATGCGTTTCACGCCGACCGCCGCACAGTGGATTGAGTCAATTAGAGGGGTCGGACATGAAATTTTTGACAAAAACTGCAAATGTTGATGTTTATTTCGTCACATTTTAAAGTTCAAGGGGTGATACTGGAAGAAAAAATCACGAGAAAACCAGTGGAACAGCTTGCAGAACATTAGATTCTTGTATAAACGGAGTTATGAGCGTTTTAAGTACCCAAATTTTTTCCGACCTCTCTCATTGACTCGATTCACCGTGCGCCGAGCTGAGGGCTTCTCCTTTTTATCTCAAGTCCTCATCATCACTGCTGCACCGCTCCATGCCAAATTGCATGTTTAGTTTCTCTCTTAACTCGACTAATTAAAGGTGCTGTCTCTTGTGTCACCGAAAGACGCTTTCTCGTTTGTAATTTTTTTTTCTGAATCCGATTTTTTTAAACCTACATTTTAAAAAAATGCAAAATTTGCCGCCCCCTGCGTTAAGAAATGAGAGATGCTATACTCCATTACCCAATGCATCTGACGAGTTTTTCAATTCAAAAAGGAACGTATGACACTCCACAAATAAATCACGTTTGAAGCGCAAACTGGAAAAAACACGATTTGTCAAAAGTATTCATTAAGTATTGCACTTTCCACAGAAGCATATTGCACAAAAATGTCACTGTAACGACTTCCGGATATGGTTGCGACCAACTCAAGGCTCAAAATTTTGATTTGTTCGCTCCCTAAAAAAAATGGTCTATCTCTGTAACTGTGCTCACCAAAACTGACAAAGATCCCAGGGTCACAGGCTGGCAGTGGTCCCGAGAGGACATTTTTCAGGGTTGAAATCCTTCCTCTTATTTAATTGTTTTTTAAATAAACTTATGCTAGGACACTATCCCTGAATAACAAACAGACCAATTTGGCTACAATGCTCCGAGCCTTGCACGTGTGAACTTGAGTCATTCGTTTTTACGACTTTTCCGAGGGTCGGTGGCCGCTAGCCTAGCGGGGCCGCTGTGAGGCCCGCTCGGCCGCGATTGCAGCCTTGGGCCCCGCTTTGCGACCCGCTCGAATGAGGCTCAATTTGGGTTCGGGCTTCGGGTGCGATTATTCTATCGTTTGACGACTGGCCGCTACGCGGCCCAACCCCTCGAAGACGCTCCGCGCCACCAGAATATCGATTTTTTAGACCAAAAACTCGTATCGATATTTCAACGTTAATATATCGTCCGTATCGATACATTTATCTCTAGAAATATCAAATCGATTTTTCTTTCTTTCTTCTGCTGAGTTGTGTATTTTACACCTCGGAAAATCGGAAATTATGGTCAATTTTTCATAGTTCGAATTTCGGATTTCGCTGGCTAGGTTGTACAGACCTACGTCACAGGGTAAACAAACCTCAAGATGCAAATACCTCCTTTTTTTTCTCTATGTAGGTATAGGACTTTTCGCGTGGCTGCTCGACGGTTTGTTAATCTGTGGAGGTTAAGCTACATTCACGCGTCGCAAGCAACCTAGCGCGTCTGCTTCTTGCTACTGCGAGCGCGCCTTCATTTCCTCCCGCACGCAACAAGGACAACCGCGATGATAAAGAATTCCATTCGGCGAAATCGAGCCGAGAGCAGGCACCACGAGTATATACATTATGGGTTATTTTAGTGATGGGTGGGATTTTATTTAAAATTCCTAGGAATCCTAGGTATAGTATTTACTGTAGTAAACAATTATCATTTATTCCATCACTTCTTTAGATTATTTATTTTTAATCAATCTATATTCATGTGAAGTGTAGCTCATCTGCATTTTTCTTTCCCTGGAACCTAAATGTATATTATGAGTTTGAATCCATCAGAAACTGAGTCAGTCAAAATCAAATTTAACTACATACGAAGTGAAAACGATTTGTATTTCGCAAATCAAAGTGATAGTTAAAGCAACCAAACTGTGTCAGAAATGTTCCCAAATTACTAGGTAAGGCTTTTATCAGCTCATCATCTGATCCAATAATTTTAATTGTGGCATTTCATTCGGCATGTCGCCGCACGACTTCTATGATACTCGAAGTCTCACATGTATAATTTGAAAGGGGGGGTCTGGGGGGGGCGGCGCCCCCTCAGCAGGTAGCTTTTGCTACTTGTTTTCAAAGATATCTTTTTCAAGTATTTTTTTAAGAAACCTTTGAGTGCCTCTGATTGCTCTCATGTGATCTATTTTAAGAACTTGAACCTGGTAAACCTAGCAGGAGTTATGCTTTCTGAAAAATTCTTATACGCAATATCCTTAGACAGCTAGGAACTTTTAAAATTTAAAAATACTTGTTACTTTACTCAAGTATCTACTAGCTTTTTTTCACTGAATTCTTCCTTCATGGCAATAATAAGCAAAATCTAGTGGTAAAGAAAATGTTGCTTTCCATCAGAACCGTTATTACATAATCAAGTATGCTTCCCATCGAACCTGCTTAATTCAATGGTAAACTCTGAAAGATGAATTGCTGCTTATGATCGTTTCATTGTAAATTGAACATAGAATCCATATCGGAAATTTCCTTCCCATCCCTGGTTAAAGTGTCTGATAACCTATGTAATGCATATCTTTTGTCAAGGTGCAATTTCCCCAAGGCCAAACCTTGCCCCTTTTTAGTCGCTTATCGGAAGGTTTCGCCGAAGGTGCCCGAGAAATGTCCATACTTTCAGGCTAAGTCACAGAGAAAATTTTACAGCAATCAAGTGGTAGCATCTTAAGGATTTAGATTGTTCCTCTTTTGTCTAAAATTGCCAAATTTCATTTCTGATAATTTACCCATGGTTTTGTATTGTATAGCAGTCAACTGTGACCAAAAAGTCAAGAACCCATACTGATGCCTTTCGGCTCAAGCCACTGTTGAAAATTCACGGTTTAGTAGCGTATAGCAACCGAACGTGGCCTTTAAAGTCTCATATTATTAAATATAATAATAATTTATCATACTTTTTAGCATGGATAAGTTCAGACACATCATTCCTATTGATTTATTAACTTGGTTTTCAATCGTTTTGCCCTAAGCTGTTAATAACCCACGGCGACACGACTATTCCTCATATCGTGAAATCTCCCATGAACTACCCCTGCTCTGACTGTAAGAAGCAGATTTTTGGTTCACCCTGAAGTGAGTATCCTATTCAGAATCCTGTCTTTTCCTTTCAAATGAAGTTTCTGGCTTCCATAATGTTGAGTCGTCAACACCCTAAATGTCATTTAGCTTTCTCTGCTGTTTCTAGATCGCAAAATGGTATTGAAGCACCATCCGGACAAACGAGTAGCAGCTGGTGAAACTGTCAATAGAGATGAAGATTACTTTCTGTGCATTACGAAAGCATATGAAACATTGGGAGATAAAAAAGCAAGAAAAGCATATGATTCTGTTGATCCCACCATTGATGATAAAATCCCCTCTGATAATGCCAACTCCAGGGAGAACTTCTTTAAGGTAAGCTGTAAGTCTTCTTTTTTGCAGCCTCCCCTTTCGTCCATCCTAGAATTTCCAGTGTTGGTCCTAATTGTTTGAATTTGATTCATCTGTTCCATTTAACATTTAAAAAGTAAACCCTTTTTTCATTTAATATGACCATGGTACACGGACTTTATGTCCACTTTTTTTACGTCCACAGACTTTTCGTCCACAATTTTTTGGTCCACAGTTCTAAAGCCCACACTATTGTTAAGTCCATTACTGAAACGTCCACTAAGTTAAGTCCACAATTAATGTAAAGTCCACTAAAATCAAATTCAAAATTTATTTAATGTCCACCTACCATTCTTTTTGTTTTACAATAAGATTTAAAATAGTTTTACCTTATACAGGGTTATCCAAAAGTCACTGACCACCCCAATAACTTTTTTCCAAATTGAGATAGAAGTTTGAAACTTTGGCAATGTTCCTCGGTCCAAAGTAGGAACTTTTTGGTCCCTCCAAATTTTTGGGGGGCGGCTCCCCCTTAGGGGGGTGGGGGCTAACTTTGTTTTTTCAAATAGCAACCCCCCCTTTGTGATACCTCATTCGGAATATAATGAGAGAAAGAAAATTTTTGGCGCAAACCGCAAATCAAAATGTTGATTTTTGACAAAATGGCGGCCGGTCAAAGTTCTAAATAGCGGAAATCTGACATCTCCGTTGTTTATTGACGGATTGGCGTGAAACTCGGAATCTGGGGGTTTTTCGAGACAAGTAAAACGATTCTGGCATTGATTTTCCGGAAAAGTCGGTCCTTTTCAAAATGGCGGCCTAGAGCGGGAAGTGGATGTATAGGCTGCTTATCGTTGGATTTGCATGTAACTTAGTATCCGGGGGTATTTCGGTACGAGTAGACCGAATCTTTCATTGGATATCTGAAATTCCGACAAATTTCAAAATGGCGGCGGAAAATGGTGGGAAATCAGTTTTACGACTGTTTACCGATGGACTTGAATGAAATTCGATATCCTCGTGGTTTTTAGCTCGATATAATGGAATCTTTCATTAGATTCTTGAAATGCTAAATAATCGTTTTCGAATTTCATGCAAATTCATCGGTAAACAGTCGTAAAACTGATTTCCCGCCATTTTTCCGCCGCCATTTTGAAATTTGTCGGAATTTCAGATATCCAATGAAAGATTCGGTCTACTCGTACCGAAATACCCCCGGATACTAAGTTACGTGCAAATCCAACGATAAGCAGCCTAAATATCCACTTCTCGCTCTAGGCCGCCATTTTGACCCCCGCCACTTTGAAAAGGACTAACTTTTCTGGAAAACCAATGCCAGAATCGTTTTACTTGTCTCGAAAAACCCCCAGATTCCGAGTTTCACGCCAATCCGTCAATAAACAACGGAAATGTCAGATTTCCGCCATTTTGAAGTTTGACCGGCCGCCATTTTGTCAAAAATGAACATTTTGACTTGCGGTTTGCGCCAAATTTTTCTTTTTTCATTATCTTTCGAATGAGTTATCACAAAGGGGGGGGGGGTTGCCATTTGAAAAAAACAAAGTTAGCCCCCGCCCCCCAAAATTTTGTGGGGACCAAAAAGTTCCTACTTTAGACCGAGGAACATTGCCAAAGTTTCAAACTTCTATCTCAATTTGGAAAAAAGTTATTGGGGTGGTCAGTGACTTTTGGATAACCCTGTATGAATGAAATTATATGGAAAAAGGCTTTACTTTCAATGTAGAACTTGAATTTTAATGTGTATGACCACATAATAACTAGTTAAGAACTTTCAATTTTGACTGCATCTGTTACTGAAAAATGTTTAATTTGGCATTGGAGCGTTTCCTAGGCTCCCGCTTCGGTTTTCATCTTATCGTATCCGTAGAGTGTACTCATGAACATATGTTTTTTTCTGCTCGTTGAGTCTGTTCTCTTTCATGACTTGATTCATGAATCAAATGTTTTTAAAAATGAAGGTAGTAGTAGTATGCATTTATTTTTGAGGTGGTTCCTGTCATTTAAATGAGAAGAAAAAAATGTGCACCTAACATGTCCACAATTTGGACAATTTTGGACCTATTCATGGTTGGACATTGAATCATGTGGACTTAATAAAGACTGGACTTATCGTTTAGTGGACATAAATAGCGGTGGACATTTATTTAATGGACGAAAGGTAGGTGGACATAAAGTCCTCGAACCATATGACCTTCAAGTTTGAAGCTCCTCTGTAAAAACTCTTGATCCTATATTAGGCGTTGAAGGGAAAACACTATTTTTGGAGGTTTTGTTGTACCCATTTGGTAAACGTAGCAGCTCTTACCTCTCTCTTATTTTTGGGCAATTACATGTGCCATAAACTTGAAACCGCTCAATTTTCCCCATCATTTGCAACTTTGTGGATACATAGTTCTGATCTCCCTAGTAACGGATTGGGCCATATCAGACTTCAAAAGTGGTGCGTCTGGCCACTGCGCCCCCCGAAAACGAAAATAAGCGTGTTTGAAATCGCACAGAAGTACCACTTTTCGGCTCCTGAAAAGTACTTCGACGTTCTTCCCTAACCTCCATATTGTACACCTGTATAGTTTGGGTACATGTTAACTTAGTTCTAGCCCGGCAGACGAATTCGAGTTCATGCGGCCGATCTGCAGACCCCGAAAATGGCCCTTTCGTGCGATGAAATCGAACAAAAAAGCCAATTTTTGGCTCCTGAAAAGTGCTTTGACGTCGTTCCCTAGCCTTTATATTTTACGCACGTATAGGTAGGGTACATATTAACTTACCTACTTCTAATTCTTGTTTACAATCAAGAGTCAGACCGTTTCTCCCATCTCCTACCAACGCATTGTCAAAGCTCCTGTACACAAGCCCTCCATACAGATTTGTGAAAACAAGTTGGATGAGCCAGTCAGAGGCCAGTCGGTCTGATGTCCACACTTGTTTTTTTTCTATCATAGATGGGGCAATAAATCAACATAATAAAGTCAGGTGTAAATAAAGTATCAATTTTCCAAACATACAGGAGCTCAGGGCCCATGAAATTCAGAGTCCTCGGGGTCGATTACCGGGGAAACCGTCTTTTTCTGGAGAATCGACGTCAATTTTGCGACCAAAGAGGAATCTTGAGAAATTTTTGGAGGGGGCGAAGCCCTCCTCCTCAGGGGATTACTTCCTGCCGTTCAGGGGGGTCAATTAGAACTCTTGGGGGTCACTTAAGATGTAAATGTGTTCTGCTCCTCAATTTGCATGCAATCAATTTGCGATTCGGAAAGGAGCCCTGATTATTAAAATTGGGCCCCCCGTTTACTCCCCAAGGGGGACTAGAGGAGCTTCGGGACCATGAAATTTGGATTTCTCGGGGTCGATTACCTGGGAACCCGTCCTTTTCTGGAGAATCTACGTCAGTTTTGAGACCAAAGAGAAATTATGGAGGGGGGTACTGTCCGCCTCTTTAGGGGGTCTCTTTTGGGCCTTAGATGGGCCGATTTTGGATTTTTAGGGGTCAATTTCACGTGAAATTTTCCGTGCTTTTCAATTCTGATGCGACTTATCCGCAGTTCGGTCGGGAACCTTGACTTTTAGCATCGTGACCCCCTAACGGGGGGGGTGGGTGGGTGGGTGGGTTTCGGGACCACGGGGGGAGCCTTGGGGTCGATTCCCTATTCAACCCTGCGGTCCCCGACTTCGTACGACCTAAAACAACCGAGAAAAAGGCCTGGTACGGGTGGTCTGAAACACCCTGTATGTAGGATATGTTATGAATGGCAAAATAAATGAGTGTCAAACTTACTGGTAGAGATTGGAAAAATATACAACTTAACATAAGTGCAGGTAATGTTGAGAAAAGAAGGCAATACATGGATTCGTATCGCTTGATTTTTCCAACTTTTAGTCTCATCCTGAGAGGACATGGAAATCAAAATCACAGACACGCTGAGGAGCACCAAAATGAGATTACGCACGTATTCAAGTTCAATCAGGAGCTCCTCATCTCAGGTGCAGTGAGAGTGAAAGTTTTTAGAACATACTTGGGAAATTAAAGTTCTTCTGTTTAATACTTCACACTTTTTGTTCTGAAGTTCAAACTCAATGCTCTCTCTGAACTGTCTACCATACTTGTTTCTCTTTTTTCAGGTTTTTAAGCCTGTTTTTGACAGAAATGCTCATTGGTCAGAAATATTACCTGTGCCTAGCCTTGGAGGTCCCACCGATTCTAGAAGTAAAGTAGAAAAATTCTACAATTTCTGGTTCAACTTTCAGTCGTGGCGTGAGTTTTCTTATTATGATGAAGAAGAAAAGGATAAAGGCCATGAGTATGTTAATTTTATTTGTTGTTGCCTTGCTTTAACAGTTTTCTATGACACCCCTTGGAACAATTTTCGTTCTAACATTTTTCTAGCACTCTGTCTTTCAAAGAGAATTAGTTAAAAAAGCCCCAGGAATTTGCCCTGTTTTTCTACAACCTTAACATGATCAAGCAAGGAGTCTGATTGATGACAAAAATTGCCATCATGCTTGATTTAAAGAATATCTTCTGCTTTGGGTGAAGGAAAATCACTATAAAGCGGCCAGAATCCGGAATACTAAAAGTAACTTGATGGTAGGATAGTGCTAGGTCCACACTAGTCTGAGGATTTCAAAAATTCCCCCTCAAAATAATACTTTCTCTAGGTGCAAGGAGCTTAATTGATTCTTTTCTGAAGGTGCTCTGGTTTTACTGCAATGGGTCACTAAACCTTGTGTATTTTATTTAATATTCTATAAGTACCATGTGAGTAGATTACATGTTGAAATATTCCGTGTTTTTGGAGCCAAAATCCTAGAAAAACCTGCTTTTAAGAGGACCGAAGACTTGAAGGAATTTAAAACGCACCGGAATGGCGGGACAATGATAGAAGTGATGTACTGCAGCGGTCAGATCATCATCTCCTCTCATGCTAATTAAAATAAATCGTATTTCAATGTGGAATTCTGGCTTGTTTACGACGGATAACATAAATGAAATTTGATTCTTTGACTCTGAAGATATAGTTCTGAATTTTCTGTTGTTTTAATAAATGAGGAGTAGAATAACATTTAACAAGAGCTGTAGAAACCCGCGCTCGCTTCTGATTGGTGCCCGATGACATCATTTGATTCGGCGCAAAACCGGGCCGTTTTAAAGGAGGGGTATCAATAAGGGCCTTTTTTGCGCCCCGCCCCCCCTAGAATCTGGGATTTTATGCGGGTTTTCCAAGTTTACTCAATGTAGTTTACAGAAATAAGCATGATTTGGTCCATAGACCACTGGGTACTTGTTAAACGGTTGCCTGAACATACGTCTGCAGGCGCATTTGAGCAAAAATGCGTGTTTTTCTATCTCTCGGAGGCTTTTTTGACACGGAGCGCATCGTCTAACTAAAATGAGCTTTTGATATGTTATCAAGGAGGCTTTATGACACATTTTAACCCTAGTTTGGTTTTAGTTGGATGATGCGCTCATTGTTTAAAAAAGCGATAGAAGAAACAACTTTATCAGCCCGAAACACTCTCAAAGAAACAACTTAAATCGGGACTGAGGCCGCAAATAATATAAAGAGCACATACAATAAAATGAAAAGCCTGGGACGTTTCGCATGGATCACACCTGCATATTCTACCGGCAAAAACAAAGAAAATTAGAAAGAAGGACACTATGAGCCTTACCGCTGGTTTTGTGAGACCGGGAGTGCAACCAAAATAAACGAGCAAGTGCAACTTGAAACAAAGCACATCGAAACAGAGATTACTTAGGTGTTCCAGCTCCATCTAGGCCCAAAAGGAAGATCATCTAGGTGATGATAATTGCTACTGAGTCCATCCACATCAGCGCGGTAATTACAAACTTAATTTCTATTTTTGAGGATGTGAAACGAGAGATAAGGAGCATAGTAAGAAGCTTGAAAGGAAAATTGAGTTCGACAAATTAATTTCGTTACCATTTGTGCCATATTTGTCGGAAAATGTATCCGAAATTTTTATTAAATACAGATTTTCTGTTGTGCACACTGAGTACAACAGCCTTAATTTTCTTATGTCTAAGTTAAAAGTGAAAATTGAAAACGACCAGATGGCGGGTGTAGTGTATTACATTCCATGCGGAGATTGTGAAACGGAGTACATTGGGCGGACGAAACAAACTTTGAGCAAAGGATTGTCCTCACATTGATACAATAAAGCGGTAAAAACGGATGATGAATGAACGAAAAAAATGATGAATTCAAAAATGGACAAGGGACCCCGCCAAAACGTTCCAAATAATGTAAAACCATAGGATGTAGAACGATTTTGCATTTGCTCAACATTCAGAGGTCCCGACGGACCCTCAAAATCGCAAAATTTGGCAAATTATCTCAGGTTTCTCAAAGAGTTCTAATTGATAAATTTATTCGTAACTGGGCAAAACCTAACCTAAAATGCACCCCATCCTCCACCTAAAGCCCCTTCTCCCTTAACATTCCAATATAAATACATTCTTTATAAACTATGCTATTTTGGTGGTGAACAGAGATCGAAAGTATCATTGGTTAACACAGATGTAAATATAAATGTTCCAGGGTAGTTTTTAGCGCCGAGTCCGAAAATGACCTCCCTTATCCTGGGTTGCTGGGTCAGGTCGATTTGCTCCCGAAAAATCAGGATTTCCCCCAAAAATCGAGCTTTTCCGGAGAAAAATCGATTTCCGGGAAATCTTGGCAGGATGGAGAAAAGATAAGATCATTTTCGGATTTAGCAGCTAAAAGTACATGGGAAACCATGCATTGCATGCCTATTAAAGTTTCCATTCTGTTCCTAATATCGCGGTTTTTCCGGACTTCTAAATGTTGAGCAAATGCAAAATCGTTCTACAACGTTTGTTTTTACATTATTTGGAACGTTTTGGTGGGGTCCCTTATCAATTTGAAATTCATCATTTTATTTTTCCATAGAAGCCGCACCCTACACCATCACCAAGACTCTGAAAATCATCGGTTTGACTTCAATGTAGCTAAAGTTTAAGCTTCTGAGAAGCATTATTTTTCAAGGGTCCTACTAGAGATAGTTCAAATCCTCAAGAATAGAACTAAAGTTTGTAATTACCACGCTGATGTGGATGGACTCAGTAGTATCTATCACCAATTCTTCTTTTTGTGCCTACAGGGAGCTGGAACACCTGAGTAATCTCTATTTCGATGTGCTTTGTTTCAAGTTGCACCTCGTTTATTTTGGTTGCACTATCAATCTCATAAAAACAGCGGTGAGGCTCATAGTGTCCTTCTCTTTAATTTTCTTTGTTTTTGCTGTTTGAATATACGGGTGTGATCCCTGCTAAACGTTCTGTGCTTTTTATCTTACTTTATGTGTTCTTTTTATTATTTGCAGCCTTAGTCCCGATTTTAGTTGTTTATTACAAAGAATTTTTGAAAAGTCGACTTTTAAGGGACATTCGTAAAAATCTTAGAAAATTACATGGTTAGAGTTTTTTTTGCTTCAATTAATTAAAATCTCCTTCCAAGAGTTTAACAAGGTCTGATAACTGCCCTCGATAATGTACGTAGGGTGCATACAAGTGGAGAGATGAGTTTCCCTAAGATTTTTGCGGAGATCCCCTCAAATCGACTTTTGAAAAAGTTATCATTGATCTAAAACCAAACCAGGGTTAAAATGTGTCATAAAGCCTCCTTGATACCATATCAAAAGTTTGTTATAATTAGACAATGCGCTCGGTGTCAAAAAAGCCTTGGAGGGATAGAAAAACACGCATTTTTGCTCAAAGGCGCATGTTCAGGCAACCGTTTAACACGTACCCAGTGGTCTATGGACCAAAATATGAGTATTTCCGTAAACTACATTGAAGCAACTTGAAAAACTCGCACAAATTCCCAGATTCTGGGGGGGGAGGGGCCAAGAAGGCCCTCTAGGGGGGGGGGGCAAAAAAGGCCCCTATTGCTACCCCTCCTTTACGAATAAGTTTCACTTTTTGAATTACGTATTTCTCGGTTTCTGAGTTACTTTCTCGCGTTTTAAATGTGCGCATTGTATACTACGCTCCATATAACTTTGGAAAAATGTATTTGCAAGTCAAAATTCGTTCATGGTTTAGTGACCCATTTTAAATATACGCTGCTGAATGAGAGAAGGCCTCATTGCCTCTCGACCAATGATAGAAAAGAATTATTTGTTTTCCATGGTTTGAAAGCTGTCAAGGTGAAGGTATTCTTCGTCAAAAATTAAGTAGTGATCCATATTTGTGTAAAAACACACACGACTTGAAAAAGAAAGAAAAAAACGCTAACATTGATAACTTTTTTAAAACTCTAAAAATTACATAAAAGCTTTGTAGTTCAGAAAAATTATGGGGTTTCCTGGAAGATTCTGTGCCTTGAAATTTATCAAATAGGATAAGAAAAAAATTAAAGTAAAATTGGTCCATTGGTGCCAAGGCACAGAGACTCAGAGGTCACAACTCTAAAGGGGTACGTGCAAAACGGGCCATTTGGGGCTCGGGGCGGATACCTTTGAGACTTGCCTTATTCATTCACCAAACATTGCCCCATTTTCCCCCAAGTTTCAAGCCCCCCAAAAATTTTGGGGAGATGCGGTGGGGGGTCTAAGTTAAAAACCGGCAAAATTTTCGCGAATTTATTACTTGAAAACCAAGAAGTTTTGGAAAACGCCGTTTAATCGAGTATATTCAGCGTGACGAGAGCTTTCAGAAAATGTATAACATCATAGGGTTTTGTCAACTTCAGCTCGAGTTAAGGCCTCCGAAGCGCCGGGACGCTCAAAAAAGACCCCCTATTTTTTCACGTTCGGGCCGTTTTAATAAAAAGCCATTTTTTTATTTTGATGGAAAACTGATATGTTGTTCCTGACTCTCTGTAGCCCCTCTAGCTCTTTACCGCATGCTGGGGAAATGTTTTGGTCGCGAATTTTAAGAGCGGAAAGGAGCGAAGGTCGGGAAAATCGGCTATTTTAAACTGCGCGTGCGGCGTTGACCGGAAGGAAAACGTCCCCTCTCACTCAGCTCGGCGAATCACACTCCTCTGCCGACTTCGCAATGTTGCCACATGTCTTCTGCAGCCTGATTGTCGAAATTTTTTGTTAGTCGGGACGACATAGATGACATAGGTTAAAAGGTGGAGCGTGATTGGTCAGCTATGTCTTATCGCTGATTTGTCTTGCCTATGTTGAGTTGAACTCACGACAAGCTATCGGTGCCTCTTAAGTTTCCGACAGTATGTCGTCCATTCCACCTGACAAAGGCACGACAAAGCAGCGATAAGACATAGCCGACCAATCACGCTCCGCTTTTTAACCTATGTCATCTATGTCGTCCTGACAAACAAAAAATTTCAACAATCAGGCTGCTGATACTTCGCCGCGCGCAGTTTAAATAGCCGATTTTCCCGACCTTCGCTCCTTTCCGCTCTTATAAATCGCGACCAAAACATTTCCCCAGCATGCGGTAAAGAACTAGAGGGGCTACAGAGAGTCAGGAACAACATATCAGTTTTTCATCAAAACAAAAAAATGGCTTTTTTTTAAATCGGCTCGGACGTGAAAAAAAGTGGGTCTTTTTTTAGCGTGCCGGCGCTTTGGAGGCCTTAACTCGAGCTGAAGTTGACAAAACCCTGTGATGTTATACATTTTCTGAATGCTCTCGTCACACTGAATACGCTGGTTTAAACGGCGTTTTCCAGAACTCCTTGGTTTTCAAGTAATAAATTCGCGAAAATTTTGCCGGTTTTTAACTTTGACTCCCCGCCGTGTCTCCCCAAAATTTTCGAGGGGCTTGAAACTTTGGGAAAAGATGGGGCATTCTTTGGTGAATGAATGGGGCAAGTCTCACAGGTATCCGCCCCGAGCCCCAAATGGCCCGTTTTGCACGTACCCCTTTGGCGTCCTGTCATCTTGAATTTGGGATATCTGCAATTTGGAACAAAATTGTAGATGCCTCTCCTCCTAAAATGCACTAAACACTGATTGGTTTTGTGGTCAAAAGTTTCAACATTTTTAATTAGCATTTTTCTCAACTTTATGTTTCATCGTAGCCATTGCACTGCAATGACTACTTCATGAGTCTATTTTAACACGTATTGTCTTAAGAGATCATTAAGAAACATAGGTAAAATAGCTCTTCTGACGTAACGGGTGTTTCAGACCACCCGTCCACTATCTTTTTCTCGAAAAGTTTCAGACCACCCGTCCACTATCTTTTTCTGGAAAACGGCGGAAAATTAAGCTTTGGGACCAAAACTCTCCCAGGGTAAATTGACCCCAAAGAATCGAATGAGAAGATTTTCAGCCCCGGCAACCGACAGTAACGAGATATCGAAATTTAAAGCTACTGAATCACTCAAGCGGTCCGATGAGTAGTTTTGGTGAGGGGCCTAGATCCATTGCTCTTGATCTCTATACAATATCGATATCTCGGTACTGTCAGGCACCACTGCCGTTGCAGAGAGATAGAGGAAACCATCGATTCGATAAATGAACAATTCCAACTACAGAATAAGGCTGAATGTGATTAAATAAGTAATACATTTCTTTTTGTGATTGCGGTGGCGGTTTCCATGAAAACTGGCAACTCCGCCTCAACGCGAATTCCGACGGAAATTCGGCAATGTTGTCAACACCATGTCGCAAATGGTCAGTTTAGGTTAACAAATGTAGCTGGATAAGATTTAATGAGAACTACTTTAAATTGTGATCGCAGCGGTGGTTTTCATTGAAAACTGGCAACACTGCCGCTACTTGAATTCCTAAAAATCATGCGAAAGTTTCAAAAAAGCGCAAAACATGAACTGACTTTTCGAATTTTGTTTGGTCTAGGCGTTTTGCTGTAACCCGGAGTTGCGAAACGTACCGAAACGAGCGTCAATATCGGGGTATCGGGCGTGTTGCCGAATTTACAAATCGCTATAACTCGTGTTCCCTAAGTCTCTCAGAAAAGTATAATATATCGATGGATGCGGAATGGAACGAACAATAATTCCGACAGGTTTTTATTCAATCCCCACCAACCGCAAACACTTTTTTAGGCGGTAACGTGATTTTAAATAATTACGAAAATTACAAAAATGCCCATAACGTGGCAACAATGGAGTCAAATTAAAATTTGGTCGATAGAACGTAATTTTTTGCATCCTTTAGTATAAATACGAGCTCTGTAACTGCATTTCGGCGAAAGTTATGGATGTTTGAAGGTTACGACTTTAAAAAATGGCAACGCTGTTTCCCTGGGGCTCCTGCAAAAACGGAGCTAGGGATAAGCCTCTCTCAACTAGTACTATCAGCCCACAAAGTTAAAGTACATTCCGGGCTGGGTACGTTTTTCGCCTATATGAATAACCCTCTTTGAATAATTTGGCCGCTTACAGCATCGAATTGAAAATTGCCTCAAAAATTCCCGAAAATGCCCCATAACTCCAAAAAATGGGGGTTTAGAGATAGAGTGCAAAGCGTAAGATGTTCTAATTTTTTACTGTAAATGTCGAATGCAATGTCAAAACATACCCTTCCCCTTCCTATTTGAAAATCGCGAGAAATGGGGGGGGGGGCACCCCTTCAAAACACCCCCAAGGAGCCATTTTGGCGGGCTGAAAATATTTTCATTCAATTCTTTGGGGTCAATTTATTCTATGAGAGTTTTGGTCCTGAAGCTCAATTTTCCGCCGTTTTAGAGAAAAAGATAGTGGACGGGTGGTCTGAAACACCCGATATGTATAGTAATAAATCCATCAGCCAATGAATTGTAATGGAAGCCTTAGCCAAACACTGAGGAAGCATAAACGAACATTCATAAAAATATGTAACATGTGTGTGGGGGGAAAAAAACATGTATTTACCTATAAAAAATACCATGTGACCGAGCCTCTTTGTTATGTCAGAAAAGTGATGAGGAGATGATCAAGTCAATACTATAAAACATTTTGTGATCAGCTCTCTAGGTGGTTAATTTATGGACCCTTTTTAAAATTCTCAACTTTGTGGTCTCCTCATTTGTTATAGCCGTGAAGAAAGAAGGTGGATTGACAAACAAAACAAAGCTATGAGAGCCAAGTACAAGAAGGAGGAAATGAGCCGAATTAGAAATCTGGTCGAATTAGCCTATAAATTAGATCCTCGAATAGCCAAATTCAGAATAGAAGAAAAGGAAAAGAAGCAAGCTGCAAAATTAGCCAAACAAGAAGCTGTCAGAGCTAGAATCGAGGGAGCAAATCGTGTAAGTTTAATCCGGATGGTTTTGGTTCATCTCTGAAGATTTTCAAAGCAATAGAATAAAAATTGCGAAATAATCTCAACTAAAATTTGCATGTGAAGATTAATGTTCGCAAGATTTTTGAGGTACTCCAAAAAGAATAAACCTTGATAATTAAGGAAAGAAGAGAGAAGTTAAGAAGTTATGCAAGTTCCTGTATTGCCAGAAGGACTAAAGAGGAAAGCAACAACAGTAAAACAGCATCTAGGACCTACTGAAAAGATTGATAACCAGAACAAGAATCTAGGTCAATGCCACAGAAAATGGGAGGGGGAAGGTTTCCATGCAATCATGGATGTGATTCAGTCAAAGTTCTCCCGCAAATTAATGATTCTTTTAATGAAAGTATGAGCAATAAATGGAAAGTCCAAAGGGAGGTTGCAGGGGCTGAAAAGTTCCTAATAAACTTTACTCTCAGGTTATTCAAAGCTCATTTAGTACATGGCATTTTGGCTAAGGTCAAAGCCTACAGGAGAAAGGTTTGAAGTCCGCAAATGGCAGAAAATGTAAGGAAGTTTAGATGCCAGTAAAAACTATAATTTCCTTAGTCCAGTACCAATGGGACTTATGAATGCAAAAAAGAGGTCAGAAGAGGTTAAAGCTGATTCCTATGTATTTTTGGTCGCTGAATCCGAATTTGACGCTTCCCACCAAATCCGTATTGTGCGTTTTCCGGAAAAGCCGGAAAACTGCCGAAAATCACGTTTTTACGCGCTTTTCCGGGAATAAATAGCTTAATATTCGTCGGAGCGTAAAATTAGTTATTAGCCAAGTTGTAGCCGAGTAAATTGCCGACAATATTGAAAGGAACAAGTTTTCGCTAGGACTTAAATTTAAGCCACCAGAGCCCGCGAAAGTTCGAAATCGGCCAAAAATCACGTTTTCTCGCGCTTTTCCGGTCATAACTCCCTTAATTGACTTTTAATCGAAAAAGTCAAGAGAAATGGAGTTTTAGGTAATCAAATTTTGAACAAATTTCAATGTGAAATTTTTCGGTATGATTCACTTATCGGCCGCTAGAGCGCGCCGAGGCGCATAAAACCCCTAGAGGTAGGCAATTTCGACGATTTTCTGCTCAAATGCGATGAAATTAGCAGCATATGTTGAAAAATATTGGCTTATCATGACAGATATGTATATTTGATTCGCGTATCTTGTTTATTACTTGTCATAGAGCTTTTATTCCGCGCGCAACTTTGACGAATGAATCTGTAGCATTGCATGGAGGATGAAATCTGTGTACATAAGGTCGCAAATAAAATCAGCGTACATCGAATTTTTTGCTCTCGTCCAACTTGGAGCCTAGAGGTATACATATCATCCTCAGTTTTGACCACATCTCTTTGGCCAGGCCGAAACAGCTGTGGTCACTCGTATAATGCCGGGAAAGCCCTCTTTAAACTCGCGGAGTGCTGCAATACAATCACAGGTAGAGGAGCGCGCGGGCTTGATTTAACGGCGGGTTGTGGCGGGCGTGATGAGTGAAAAGTGAAAAGGCAGCCATGGTCGGGAGAGAAGGAAAGCTAGAAAGGGTGAAAAAATTCATTGTACGTCATGCAAAATCAAACATCTTGCCTAGATATTTCGGCCAGCCTCTATTAATATGCATGTTAGAGGGTATTAAGTCAAAAAATGTGGCACTGGGAATCTGAGATTGATCAGCTCCTAATTTTTAGTCTTATGTCGAATCTCTGTTTTTCAACATACTTCATCTCAAGCTTAAGTGCACGTGTGAATTCAATTGATCCTTGAGTTTTCCACTAACCTTGAATCATTTTTATGTCAGAATTTTTCGTTAATTTACGCGCCATATCGATAATACAAGATGAGTTTGTATCTCATTTGTGAGAAAGCACTTGAAACGGCCAGACTAGTGTTGTTAGGAGAGAAAAGGCTTGCCCTCATTTTGGAGAGCAGGTATTAGAAAAAAATGTAAACAAATACGAGCTATTGCCTCCCTCGCTACAGTGACAGAGCAATAAAAATGTCAAAAAGAATATGTGAATGAAAAATCAATCGTCGCTCATTTGAAGCGGATGCTAAACATTCAGGAACGATCTATCAGGCTGAGATAAGTGCGCTCCGATGAGCCAGAATTTGACTTTAAGCGATGTTGCTCATTTTGTGGTGAAAGTATTCCTGCTGATGTGAAGCTAAAAAACAATAAACTTCAATTGCATGGACGTGTAATTGTGATTAATGTAACTGCATTCAATATGCGGGATCGGTTATTGTGTGCTATGTATACAACGAATCCTTGGTGCTCAGCTATGCTGCGTCATGATTACGCAAGGTGGAGGATTTAGTTGCAGAGGAAGCCAGGTATCATTCGAATCGTAATTTAAAGTTTATAAGATTGTCTTCTCCTGTGACTAAATCGGAGACTTCACGTGAGAAAGGGCCGTATGAAGAGCTTATTTCCGAGGCCATGCGACAGATTTTTGATTACTTGGCTTTATACTCAAATGAGTGTCAATTCATGTTGACAGACTTAATAGGCGAATTTAAAGGAGAATATAAACCTGATTTAAGAACTGTTAAACATGAGTTGATGACAAATTATGAAACTGACATCATTATATCAAGATCTTGGGGAGAGTCTTCTATAGTTTATTTCAGAAATATTAGTTTTCAAGTCCTTTTCCGGACGCATTTTACCCGAATAAAAGTAGCGCTGAACACGATGCCACCTTAATTTCTGAAGACATTCGGTCCAAAATCTACAAAACGCAAAAATATTCTTCCATCAATAATTTCCTGGGGAATGCCCAATCGATTGTCCCCTGAAGACCTTTTCACATTTTTAGAAACTGTCATTGTGAAACACAGAAAAGAAGATGAAGAGTCTTGGAGGAAAAAATGTATATGTTTTGCTCATTGCATCATAAGTAATGGCGGCACGGCCGAAATCGTTTACATCTTCCATTGAACTTGGGATTTCTTCATTTATTTTTTTTTCAAAACAAAATTGTTTCTCGGTGACTCATTGACATGCTTGAGTCACTAGGAATATCCCGCGTCTTATCGAATAACCGTTGTCAAAAATTTCTCAAAAAGGATGAGGGAAGGATGTTTATGAACGTTTTCCAGACCAAGGCTTAATATTTCGCTGAAATATGATTCTCACGTGTGATCTAATATTGTGATTGATCAAAATATCCGAAATTGTCGTCAGATTCACTGTTCTCTCCTAACCCTGGAATTATTCTTCAGAATTAAACAGAAAAAAAGTTCTCTAGATTCAATATTATGTATATATGCAGCCGTAGCGCTTGCAGTAAGGTGGGGGAGGGGGGTGGTGAGGTTGGGAGCTCTATTTTAGGAAAAATAATTCCTTAAATCATCCGTTTTACAAGTATACATCGATTTTGAATTTACAGCGTATTAACAGTGAATTAATAGCTGATATCATCGCATTTGAGCAGAAAATCGTCGAAATTGCCTACCTCTAGGGGTTTTATGCGCTTCGGCGCGCTCTAGCGGCCGATAAGTGAATCATACCGAAAAATTTCACATTGAAATTTGTTCAAAATTTGATTACCTAAAACTCCATTTCTCTTGACTTTTTCGATTAAAAGTCAATTAAGGGAGTTATGACCGGAAAAGCGCGAGAAAACGTGATTTTTGGCCGATTTCGAACTTTCGCGGGCTCTGGTGGCTTAAATTTAAGTCCTAGCGAAAACTTGTTCCTTTCAATATTGTCGGCAATTTACTCGGCTACAACTTGGCTAATAACTAATTTTACGCTCCGACGAATAATAAGCTATTTATTCCCGGAAAAGCGCGTAAAAACGTGATTTTCGGCAGTTTTCCGGCTTTTCCGGAAAACGCACAGTACGGATTTGGTGGGAAGCATCAAATTCGGATTTAGCGACCAAAAATACATAAGAATCAGCTTTGACCTCTTCTGACCTCTTTCTTGCATTCATACCCCCCTTTTTAGATCTATTGGTACTGGACTATTGGTTCTTCAAATCTAGTCATCACTCTGGTTCTTAGGGACCGAAATTCGGGCATACTTGCTATGAGGCAGAATTCACAGCCAAAGAGGAAATTGTAAGTCCTATGTTCCAAGCACAAACTTACCCAGAATCAAGATAAAGAGGACGGTTTTCAAACAGGTATTTGAGACGTTTTAGGTCCGATACAGCCAGGAGAAGGATTACAAAAAGTTGAAAACAGCTTGAAGTTAAAAACTAAACGAAAAACATTGATGGAATTTTCAGAGCCCATAAATCACAAACTAAGACATGTAACTTGAATTCTTGGTCTCTCTAACAATGGTAGAAAAAGAAATCGTATGGTGGGAACAAAAGGTTGAGGAAGACCGAGTAAGCAGAAATCTGGAATTAGGATGGAGCGCTGTTGTAAGAATGGAGAGCCATTCTGCTGTCAAACCTCACAAGCATGTAGCCGTTCCCCTTCGTAGAGTTCCAAACCCTACTCAATCCAAGCTTTTCTGTCAAATTATTGTAAAGATTTAAACGGCAAACATTTATAAATTATAAGATTGTAACTCACATTTCTTTTTTCGGATGTTGTCTGACAACAGTAGGACCAGGGGAAAAAAAAAAAAGTGAGTCACATTCTTAAAATTCAACAACCTGAAGAAGTAAAATGCTGTTCAATTTATAGATTACTTGTGAATGCTGAATGGTAATACTGTAATACTGAGGGAACACTGCATGGTAACGTAGGCTGGCAGTGTTGAATCAGTTAATGATCCTCTCATAAGATAACTTACTAGGGGAACTTCCCAAGCTGCCGCCTCCGATCGGGCTGAAAAAATTCATATGAACTCTTTGGATGAATTTATTTGACCCATATTTTTTTGTTTTTTCCAACGCCCCCTAGAAACCCCCCAAAAAAATTCCGGAAAGTCTTGCTTTGAGCGCTCGAGTCTATATACGTAGTATAGCAACCAGTTCTTATCAGTCGGCGGTGGCTCTGCGGTAGCGCGCTTG